CCCATCGCGACTTTCGTAAAAGACTTTTCCTATCATAGTCAATCAAAACCCAAACTATAATATACCATTCGATAGAGAATTTCAAGAGCTACAAAATGATATATAAAACATAAAGAAACAAGAAGGTTGACTTACCTATGACAAGGATAATTAAAGAGAACTAGGTTATATTTTGGTCTACGATCTAATTGATCCAGAAATCGAGCTTTATCTTCCGATCACACTAATGATACTTCGAGGTTTTCAGATATGGAGAACTCGAATGTAAACTGCACCTCCATCGAAATACTATTAGTTGTGCCGTGACCAATAGAAAGGAAGTTATAGGAAAAACGACTTTGGTAGGGTAAATCAAGGGAAAGAATTCAAACTTGAGGTGTATTTCGGTCCCATGTCCTATTGGTTTATCAACGCGCAATAGGAATCAATATTTTAAATGGTAGATTTCCCAGTATAATTTTGATATTTCGACAGTCTAGGATGATTGATTTGTATGATTCACTTTTTGAAGTACAAATAACTCTCGGATTTAAATCGGAAGTTTCCGCATTTATTGAAGAAGAATGTCGACTAGAAAAAAAAACCAATAGAAAATGTGATAAACACTATTGTTCAACTATCACTAAGTATTTCAATTTCTAGAAACAAAATAGATTTGTGTAATGAAAGGGAAACATTTGTTGTTTCTTACTGATCCTCAACATTGACGTTTGTATTGTTCAAAAAATACATAATATACATTCATGTTTCAATAGTAAAATATTTGAGATTTTAGAAAATATTATATTTTAGATATTAGACATAGATTCTGTGCATGGGCGGCGCAGCTTCCACTTTTTAGGGGAAGCAATAAGGTTTTAAATAAGACTATACATTGCCCTGCCTCCCACGTAATGAATGATTCTGCGGTAGAGATTTTTTTCTTAAGCCTGATTTTTCAAAGTCGTAATGTTAGGGCTTTGTGTATTGATTTTTGTCAGAGAGAAAATGAAGAGCCTTATAATAATCCAACACTTTCTTTGAAAATAATTTATTCAAAACGAGTTAGCAATGAGTCGTATCTATTTCTTAATTGCCTTTTGTTCGCTGATCATTGGATGTGAGACTTGATACTCATATAAAAAATTTCTAAGTATTTAAATAGTTATTCCTATTTGAAAGAACTATAGGTATAAAAATCATCTTTCATTTTTGACTCTTTGAATACTTTTAAATGTTCGTAAATGTGTTACTATTAGTAGAAAAAGAAATGGATTCTCGCTCAAGAATTATATACAATTCTTTTATTTATTTTCAAAAATCTTTTCTTTATACAAAATCGGTTGCAATTGCGTTGATATCAATTCTATAATCTTTCGTCTATATTTATTCAAGCTAAAGATGCTAATCATTCTTGTTCAGTTGTATTTCTAATATGCATTTTGATTCTTTATAATGATGAAAAGCTTCTATCGCAATCACACACATTAATAGGTATAGTCCATAGTAGTGTTGGTCAACCATGATATCTAGAATAATCTTTGCTCTGAAGGGAGACCGTCCAAAATAATAAAGAAATTGAGTATGTTACTTACACGAGTCCATGTCGGATATGTAGGGCACGATATATACCCATCAAAACAACAAAATATATTCACGAAACTGTTGATCAACACTTGTATATTAACTAGAAAATTGTATTAAATGTATGTTGCTGAATTAGATATTTTCATTCTAGTCTATGAAGTAAGCAGAAAATATTTGTAGTCGCAATAAATTTTTATTGCGTCGCCAAACTTTTTTAGGGGACGCAATTTCAGCTCCTTGTAGTGCTGGCGCGCCGCCCATGATTCTGTGACACTGTTCAAAAATTGATACATAGGAATATTCAAGAGTAGCTGAAAACGGATAATACAGAATCTGAATACGGTGGAGATATATAATATATAATGGATCTACTTTAATTTTCATAGCATGATCAATAATTTTGATTAATTATTAGAATGCATTCAGTGTAAAAAAAAATTTCCTTATCGTTTGAAAGAGTTAAGCATAAGTTTCTTGTAGATATTTACTTTAATTCATGCGTAAATTCTGTCGGCAGAATTCTTAGAATTTATCAATTGATTAATTTTTTGTTTTGTTTTTTTATTCAGATTACAGTTCTAATTTCATTTTTGATATCTACTCGTAATGTCTAGTCTTATGTAAAGTATTAACTATGATTACTCATTATATTTTCAATTCTTATCATTAAAAATTATCAGTAGTTGATTTCGATGGAGAACTAAAAATGATGCTTTAAGTTTCTCATTGTTGGCTCTTAATACTTACGTTAGAGAAATAAATCGCTTTTGACTGATAATTTCAGCAAAATAGAAGAGGCCTCAAACGATAGTCCTTGGATATTTTTATTTTAGTTCTTGTTTTGAATTTTCGGACATACATAAGAAAGAACAATACAAATCAAACGAAACTATGTAATTATTATTTATAAATTATTCTTAAAAAATTTCCAGAACATTTTCGATTTCAATTATTCATAAGTTTTTTTTTTATTAATTTGAAAAATAAAATCTTAAAATCGAATTTAACATTTAAGAGCAATTAGTATGTATGAGGAGTAGAACTTACTTCTTTCAATATCATATTTCCAGTTGTTGAGTAAAATTTTGTTTGAAAAGTAGAATATCCTTAGTTTTAAGAATTGATTTAAGCTATAATTATGAAATATTATTAAGTTGTTTTACAATAAATAATGTTTAAATTTTGTAATATTTGAAAAGAATATTGCATTTTGATTGATAATATATCGTTGCAAGAAGCGAGTTACATTCTGAAAAATATAAGCATTTTTAAGTTCTATTTTGTAGCTGCAATTTCAAAAGGTATGATAATTGTCACTAGTTTAAGCGAAAAATATTTCGAAAATATAATTAAGATAATTTATTTTAAAATAATGATAATACATCTTGTTTCATTTTTGAATTTCAAAAGCAAGATTTTTCTAATAATCTTATTTTCAATTATCATTGAATAACTATAAATACATTAAACATATCTTTTCGTTGAAATAAAAGTTTTTATACAAAAGAAAAGAAGTAAAAATCCATGTTCGATAAATGATTTACATCTGAGTATTGTAAGTTACTCTTAGATTTATTGAAATCATAGTTTGGATATTTTTAATGAGTTGTTCTTGAAGAAAGACTCTGAGAAAACAAGAAACAAAAAGTGTTCTAAACTTCTTTATTCAACTTTAAATAAGAGATGATTTCGATTTCTACGAAAGATATTAGTCTACTAAAAATGAAAGATTTATTTCGTTTATTGATCTTCAAAATCGAAATTTGAATAATTCAAAAATAAATATTTTTATATTTAAGTGCACATATGCTTTTTTCTGTTTTATTAAATAATAGTTATGAAATATTATTAATCGATCGGCAAAGTTCAATGAACATTGATTCTAATCAAGCATATAATGGATCATTATCAACGGCATCAAAGTTTATTCTTAATGAATTAAATAACGGAAATAGATATATTCAATGTTTACCAATTGATGATTGTATTTCATTTATGAAAATGATCATTTTAGAAATAGTTCCACAAACATTCAAGAATGAGATTTTATTAGAAGTAAAACAAGGATGTTACTCTGGTATTATCAATGTTTTTGAAACAATAAAAAAGACTTATGCAAATAAATCACCAATTATACTAAAAGTAATAAAATTTTTAGAAGAAAATCGATCAAAATTAAATGGTCAAATATTAAATAAATATATTGATGAATGTATTAAACAAAGTGATTGTTTATGTCGATTAGAAAATCAACAATCAGATATTGATTTTTTTGATCATTTAGAAAAAGATTTATTTTCATCTTAAATATATATGGTATGTGTTGTTTTTTTTTCTTATATTCACGAATATAAATTCTATCAATACAAATGTGTTAATCATTATCTTAAATAATATTTCAATTAGAATTATTTATTTTGTTTAAATATTAATTATCATAAGGAAGTTTACTCTTCGAAAAAAAAATGAATAATATCACACGTTGATATAGAACTGTTTGTTTTCATGTTTCTTTTCAATGATATTTATATGTCAATAAATCAGATGAAATTTTCGTCGGTTTATTCAAATGTAACAATAAAATATTTTTATCTTCAAGATCAGTTTTGAATTATCTAAAGAAAATTTTCATAGATAAAACTACACTTCTCTTTTCTTCCTAACTGTAAATAAGGAGATTAATAAATATGTCAATATTTTACATTTCGTAGATTTTTGTTTGTTAAATATTAACAGAAATCTTATTAAGTTCAAAAAGAAAACTATTATTAAATTAATATCTCTTATTTAGTCATAATCGTTCTTAAATCAATGCTAGATTATTATATATATATATATATATATATATATATCGGTGTGGCCACGCATCGGTGACCCTTGCATGAGGAAGGTTTATACCCACTAAAAATAAAGAAAACTCTTTCGAAATTCAAAATTTTACTACTGACAGATTATGAAACACGTTGTAAGCTCTAAGATACATTGTTGATTAGCTATATAAATTCTATTTTTCCACCGATAAGTGTCTGAAAATAGATTTTTTGACGGATTTTATAAAAAAAATCCGTCTTCTGTCCTAGTAAATCTAATTTTTGTCCGAAAGACAGACAGAAATTGTAATGTCATTCCTTTATGAGGGTAAAGCTGACATACTTAAACGATAGACCTATCCCTATACTACTCGTAGATATGAAAAATGATGGGCGTTCATCATAATAATTTAAAGTTTTAAGGTCTTGGACCGTCACCATTAGAAAGTCAAAAAATAATGAAATTCCGCAACGAAGTGGAATTCCGTAACACACAGTATTTACACGTTTTCTATTTGGTGTAGTTATGCTTTCTAGGAAATAATATGATATTTCGAAAGCTCATGGAAAACTGAATAATTTTTATATAAAGCGTTTATTTGTATGCCGCTTCGTTACATAGTAAAATGGTTGACTATCAGGTAGAGACCTGCGGAGGACTCCGATATTTTTTTTTCGATTTACCAAAACTTAATTTTTAACATTAGTAAATAGAAAAATAAAGCGTAATATCTGTCACATAGATTTATATCACTT